CTACCCATTTTGTGAAGTAATCAATGGCTACTAGAATAAACCTGTGCCCGTTTGAAGCAGTGGGCTCAATTGGACCAATGACGTCCATTCCACAAGCGGCGAATGTCCAAGGTGAGCTTGTTAAATTGAGCTTGTTTGGCGGTACTTTTATCATATCGGCATGCACTTGGCATTGGTAACATTTGCGAACGTACTGGACACAATCTGTCTCCATGGTCATCCAAAAGTAACCGGCCCTAAGTATCTTCTTAGCCAAGATAAAACCATTCATGTGCGGGCCACAGGTTCAAGCATGTACGTCCTAAAGTAGTTTAGAAGCTTCTTTTGCGTCAATACATCTTAGCAATCCCAAATCAGAAGTTCTTCTGTACAGATTTCCTCCGCTGTGGAAGAAGTGATTGGCCAATCTCTGGAGCGTGCATTTCTGAGTGTGGTTTGCATGCTCCGGATACTCTCCTTTCGCCAAATACTCCTTGATGTCGTGGAACCAAGGTTTTCCATCTATTTCTTCTTCAACATGAGCACAATATGCCGGCTGATTATGGATTTTTACTGGGATGGGATCAATGAAATTCTTATCTGGATATTGTATCATAGATGACAAGGTAGTCAATGCATCGGCAAACTCATTCTGAATCTGGGTACATGTCGAAACTCTATATTCATAAACCTCTTTCTCAATTCCTATACATGGTATAAATATGGCAATATCTTGGAATTCTTGGTGGCCCACTCTCATGTACCTGGTGCACAAGCAAATATGAATCACCGATTACCAGCAGATCCTGAATATTCATGTCGACTGTCATGTTGAGTCCTAGTATGAAAGATTCATATTTCACCATGTTGTTAGTGGAGGGAAATATGAGTTTAGCAGATACCGGATAATGTTGACCTGTTTCTGATACCAAAACTGCTCCAATTCCCACTCATTTGAAATTTGCAGCTCTGTCAAAGAACATCCTCCAGCCACCGTATGCTTCGTTAATGTCTTCCCCTACGAACGACACTTATTCATCAAGAAAATACTTTTTCAATGATCTGCTAATGCTTGCCCTTTAACTGCCTTTTGAGTTACATAGATGAATCGAACTCGCTCAACAGTATCTGCCACTTGGCTAAATTTTTAGTTGCATGGGTTTCTGAAATATATACTCCAATGGGTCCATCCTGGATATGAGATATGTGGTATAGGCACAGAAATAATGCCTCAACTTCCGGGCCGTCCAGGTCAAAGCACAACAAGTGCGTTCCAGCAGATAATACTGTACTTTATAAGGTGTGAACTTCTTACTCAAGTAGTATATGGCTTGATCTTTTCTCACTATCTTGTCATGTTGTCCCAAAACACATCTGAAAGCTCCATCCAATACATATAGATTGAGTAGCAAAGGTCATCCCGGCTCTGGCGGGACTAAAACTGGTGGCGTGGACAGATACTCCTTGATTTTGTCAAAGGCTTTCTGACAATCCTCGGTCCAACTTGTCTCGGTATCTTTTCTCAGCATCTTGAAGATAGGTTCACATATGACTGTGGACTGTGCTATGAAGCAACTGATATAGTTGAGGCGTCCCCCAAGTTTACTTCTTCGGTTTCGTCCAGATTGGACTTAGGCTTATTCTCAAAGTTTTCAACTTCCCTGACAACTTCCTCGGGTATCTCATCTTCTTCATCTGAATCACTATTCTCATGTTGCATTGCCGCATTATATGTCACAGTCACCGGTTCATCAGGAAAAGTAATAATAACACTGTAGAAAGAAAAAATATAGAAAATAGTAATGAATAATAAAGAGCAAATGCATTTGATTAAAATTAAACAATATCCAGACAAGTGCGGCGGCGTGATGAATCGAGCATTTATTTTGAAACAAGTAAATCTTTAAATCAAAATTATTGAAAATCTTAAATGCCTAGAATGGCTATAGAAATAAATCTGCCAAGCTACCCAGGGACTCGGCGGACCCGAAACGGTGTGGCGGTCCAGTTTTTGAGAACAGCTCCCTTCTTCACAGTCTGAATAGTAAGGCCTTCTTCCTCCTCCTCCTCAATTATGGCACTGCACTCCATGTCTTCCTCTTCCAAGAGCAGATTATTCACCCCAGCTAATGCCTCCTCTTCTGCAGTTCCCCATATTATATCAGCTTGGTGAAAAGCTTGATCCAGATGTGGCATTGGTTACTCGAGAGGGTAATACGGTCCGTGCCATAGAGGCGACCAATTGTTGTATTCTTGCCATGTGTACTGATATCCGAGCCCAAAGGTAGTACCATGACCCTTCAGCCGTATTGGTTTAGTGATACCCTAGAGATTCTTCCCCAGCCCTTTGTCGGGTTCATACCCAGACCATGCCGGTATGCTCTCTATTTTACTGCTACACCATTTGTGTTTTTCGATAGTATTGACACGTTCAATGTGATGATAGGTTTCCCCTCCTAGCCTTCTTTGTATTTCCAATAACCGGGATGGTTTGACTGGTGTAAATGGGGTTACTCCCATCTCCGTGAATGATCACCTCTTAATGATTCTATTCAAATTTCATGGCTTGATGTAGTGTGGATGTTACAGCCCCAGCGGCATGGATCCATGGTCGGCCCAACAAAAGATTGTATGAGGCCGGTATGTCGAGCACCTGAAACTCGACGTCGAACCAAGTTGGCCCCATCTGTAAGAAAAGGTTAATTTCCCCGATCGTGGCCCTTTGAGACCCATCGAAAGCTTTCACATTCATACTTCCTGTCCGTATTTCATGAAAACCTTTGTCCAGTCTTTTCAAAGTGTCCAATGGACAAATATTAAGGCTTGAGCCTCCGTCAACCAAGACCCTGGCAATGAATTTGTCTTCAAATTGCACCGTATATGCAATGTTCGATTGTGATTCAACCCCTCAGGTGGTAGCTCATCTTCGTGGAAGATGATCTTATGACTTTCCAGTACCTGCCCTACCATATTGGCCATCTCTCCGTTGGTGATGTTTTTGGGTACATAAGCTTCACTCAACACCTTCATTAAAGCATTCTTATGCGCCTCTGAATTTTGCAGCAGTGACATGATGGATATCTGAGCTGGGGTTTTGGTCAAATGGTCAATAACGAAATACTCCTTTGCTTGTACTTTCCTCCACAGGTCATCTGGCCCTGTTTCAATGACATGCTGCCTGGTAGTGGCATCCTTACTTGGTCCTTCCAAGTGTTCAGGTATATAGACTCTTCCAGTCCTGGTCATTCCCTGTGCAACATCGAATTCTTCTAACTTTGTCTTCCCTTTTCGCCGAGCCTCGGCAACGTAATCCTAAGGTATTGCTTTTGAGTGGAAAGGAGGTGTGGTTGATACTGTCACTGTAAAAGGTATGACCACTTCTACTTCAAATGGAGCAGGGGTGTCCGTAGACGGAGCCACCTCTACCTCAAATGGAACTGATGTAGCTACCTTAACCTCGATTGGTGACAGATACTACAATAGGAGTAAGTGTGACCAAGGGTTTAAAGTCATTGCCCTCCCGAATAAGCCCAATCGACCCCTCAGGGTCCCATTCTTCGTTCGTCTCTACCACATGTACCCCACCACCTCTATGATCAGGGAGAGGGTTGTTGCGGACATTGGGTGCAACTTCCTTTGCATGTATGACCTTGTTTTCAATTAGCATCTGGATCTTATCTTTCAATGTTCAGCACTCATCAGTGGTGTGCCCCTTCATACTGGAATGGTACACACAAGTTTTGTTTGGATTAATCCATTGGGATGGATTCTCTAATGCCACAGCAGGAATGGGGGTGACATAACCAGTGGCTTTCAACCTCTCATACAACGGGTCAATTGGTTCAGCAATGGCGGTGTATTGTCTAGGTGGCTTACGGTCAAAATTGGGTCTTGGTCTTGGATAATTTTGGCGAGTTGGTGGTGACTGGAAATGAGATGGTTGGGTTATAGATGTGATGGACAGTGGCTGATTGGGAATATCTGGAAGATGAAGGTTGATATATGGGTGGTGGTGCTTGATATGTGGGTGGAGGTGTCTGATATGTAGGTGTAGGTGTCTGATATGTAAGTGGAGATTTCGGGCCTTGAGCTACCATTACTGCCCTGATGTCTCTTTTCTTTGATATGCCGCCCGATTGTAATGCCTTATTGGTGGCCTGTAATGCCTCAAAATTCGTTACCATCCCGCTTTTACCTTCCTCGATTCTTTCTCCAAGCTTGATGATATCGGAGAATTTATGGTTTTCAATAACCAACAATCTTTCATAATACTGCGGATCCTGTGCTCTGACGAAGAACTTGTTCATCTGTTACTCATCCAAAGATAGCCTGACCTTGGCTACTTCCGACCTCCAACGAATAACATACTCATGAAAGGTTTCGGTGTATTTCTTCTTAAGATTTTGGATGTAGAAAACATCTGGTGCATTCTCTGTATTGAACATGAGCCGGTCTATGAGATCCGATGTCATACTCACCCAATTGGACCATTTCTTGGGATCTTGGCTAATGTACCAGGACAAAGCATCTCCAGTAACACTCCTTATAAAGAGTTTCATTCGGATCTTTTCATCTTTCCCGACCCCGACAAGCTTGTCACAATAGGTCCTCAGATGAACCATGAGATCACCTGTACCGTCAAACATCTCGAACTTGGGACACTACTAGAAATAGGGCCTGTGGCAACGAACATTTATGTAACGGTAACAGAACCGTTGCCATACACTATATATAGCAACGGTTAAAACCGTTGCCAAAAGGGCTGGATGATTTCGCTACTCTTTAATAATCTACCCGTTGCCATTGTACAGGAACCGTTGCCATAGATCTTACTGTAGCAACGGTTGTTACAAACGTTGCAATATTTGTATCTATTGGCACGGTGTTGGGGAAAATTACCTATAGGGACGGTTATGGGTTCCCTCCTTATTTTCCCTCTTCGTTTTTGCCAAACCAGCCAAAATCTTTTCCTTAATATTTTTTTACTCTTATTTCTTATTGAAAATATAAAATATCAGCTTTTTCATTCCCTAAACAACCTGTACTCTATCAGACCCTAAACCCACTTCCTCTCTCCCTAACTCACGCTAATTATTTCGCAATTTCATCTCCCAATTTTGCTCTCTCTCTCTCACTCTCTCTCTCATCCAAATTTGTAACATAAACACTGCAATGAGGGTTCTTAGCTATGGGTGGAATTTAGCTTTGTAAAATTAAATACCCAATAGATTCACAAAGTAGCAGAATCATGGGGTCTCAAAATCAGTTAGAAATCAATAGTTGAGATTTTGCAAAGTGTATTCGCAGAGACAAAAAGGTTGGGATCTCTTTCTACCATCAGCGTAAGTTTCCCTATTTTTGGCTAGTTTCAGATTTTCAATTTTCTTTGTGATTTTTGTTTGCATGCACACAAATTGGTGGTCTTACTTTTTTATTTTAATTTTATATGCATTTTCTTTATGAGAGTCTTTAATTTATTCAGTAACTACAATTAGAAGCGAGTTTTCTGTTGGCAGTTTCTCCGGAAAAGATCGATTCCTTGACCGTGTTCACATAATTAGTTTCTCAGTTAGCTTCAATCGTGAGAAATTATTTTTCCAAAAGGCACACTGTGAGAAATCGCTAGCTGAAGAAGTTGTAAGTTCTTATTTTCTTATTTAGATATATTGGTTGTCTTTATTCTTTAGTCTTTTGGGTATCAGTGGTGTATATGCTGCTTTAGATTTATGATTTGAACCGAAACTGGTATGCTAGGCTTTGAATCGTTTGTTCTTTCAAAACAAAAAGGAATCATTTTCCATTTTTTAGGTACAGGATAAAAGGGTTTCATTATTTACTGCTTTTAACTTATGTGGTTCATGTGGATCAAGATAAGAATGTATCTGTTAGTTCTATTTTGTTGCAATAAACTAAATATATGATGCTTGCATAGAAGGAAAAAAAAACTGCCCCTTTTTAGATCTGCTCATGTTTTGCTGCAGCTTTGTATTCTTTCTCTTAAAAAAAACTACTATAGTTTAATAATATATTGGTAAAAAAATACATTAATTAATTAGTGAATATAAAAGATACATGTATTGTTTTTTGATTAATTTGGTGCAAACTCAGGTACTAGTGAAATTTTTCAGCCTTCTTTTTCTCTTGTAGATGTGTGTTCCATGATAGCAATGTTTGAATATTTTAGAAGAGATAATATATTCCAAACTTTTGTTCAATGTGTTTGTTCAAATATGTATCATGTTTTTCCCCTTACTCTTCTGCTCTTGTGTTCGTCAATAATAGCACCATCACATATTAGGAAAAAAGAAGAGGGAAATTGAAAGGTTCTAATCAGGTGCTGGTACTTATTAAGTACATAGAAGTGCACGGTGTCGTCTGATTTAAAATTGGGATGTAGGGAGTATCTGCTTCTATTTTATTAGATCGTTACTTGTATTTAGTTTATGAAAAATATTCACTTTTATTCTAGATGTAGGTTTAAATTGTTTGATGGTAAGTCAATTTATTTGTTTGTAAAAGCTAGGTATCTGTTTGTGAGAGAACTTCATACATAGATGGGCCTCAGTAAAGAAACATACCAAACTTCTACATCCTACTTTCAAAAAACACACTCTAATTGCTATATCTATATGTTGCTACTTATAGAAAAAGTGAGCAGGAAATTATTTGTGTAATTTAAATTGAGATCTTGTTTGTTCAGATCATTTTTTATATCTGTAAAAGTGGTTTATTGGTTAAACCCCTTATATGCATATGCATTACAGTGAAAGGATCTTATTTGCTTGTAGAATACTTATAGTTTGTAAAGATTTAAAGGTTACATATATTGATGAGAACTAAATCGCCATCCTTGAATCCTAGATTAACAGAGTACTTGGTCATGGTTTATTTGATAACATTAGTTCTCTTTAATTTTTTTGTAACTTAGCTTAACATAAATCTTAATTTTGGTGATTTACTAATATCTTATAGGAATTAAATGGATTATGGAGATAAAAGTTGGATGAATCTCCTAAGATGGACGGATGAGTATATTCGTGGAGTAAATACTTTTCTTGATAAGGCATTTGAACGAGCTTCCCAGGTAAATGAAATATTATGTCCTTGCAAAAAGTGCATGAATCGCAATTGGCATTATAGAAATGTGGTGGAGGATCACTTGGTAGTAAATGGGTTTGTTGCTGGTTATACCAAATGGGTTTTCCATGGGGAAGGATTTTCCTCGGCAAATCCACCTAATCCATGCAATGATGATGATGATTTTGACATGCGTGACGATATTGACGGACTACTTCATGATACATTTAGAAATATAGAGGGTGAGTCAAGGCATGAAGAAGGAGTGAAAGAGGGACTATCTGAAGATGCAAAGAGATTTTTTAGATTGTTTGATGAGGGAAAACAAGAGTTATATCCTGGGTGTGAAAATTTTACTAAACTAAGTTTCACCATTCGGCTATACTTGCTTAAATCCTTGCATGGGTAGAGTAATGTAGCATTTTCAGACATGCTGGACTTGATAAAAGAGGCATTTCCCTTTGCTCAACTACCAGAGTCGTTTAACAAGGCTAGAAACATGATAAGAGATTTGGGTCTTCATTATGAAAAAATACATGCATGCCCTAATGATTGCATGTTATTTTGGAATGACAATGTGAAGGCTGATAATTGTTCTGTTTGTGGGACTTCAAGATGGAAGAGTACTAATGCAAGTTCTAATATCCCTGCAAAGGTTTTAAGGTACTTTCCCTTAAAGCCTAGGCTTCAAAGGATGTTCATGTGTCCTGAAACAGCTATTGCAATGAAATGGCATGCTAATGAACGACCCAATGATGGAAATTTAAGGCATCCGGCTGATGGAGAAGCTTGGAAGGATTTTGATTCCTTGCACCCGAACTTTGCTAGAGAATCACGTAATGTTAGGCTGGGTCTTTCAAGCGATGGTTTTAATCCATTTAGAACCATGAGCATTTCTCATAGTACATGGCCTGTTGTGTTGATGAACTATAATTTATCGCCGTGGATTTGCATGAAGCCGGAATATATTATGTTGTCAATGATCATTCCAGGTCCATCATCTCCAGGAAATGATATTGATGTGTACCTACAACCACTAATTGCAGAACTGAAGGAACTATGGGAAGTTGGGATAGAAACATATGATGCTGATACAAACCAAACATTTCAAATGCGTGCAGCTTTATTGTGGACAATTAGTGATTTTCCAGCATTAGCAATGCTTTCAGGACGGAGCACAAAAAGTAGATTGGCATGCCCCATTTGTAATTACGACACATGCTCTCAATATCTTAAACATAGTCATAAGATGTGTTACTCGGGCCATCGAAAATTTTTGCCTCCTGATCATCCATTCCGAAAAGATAAGAGGTCATTTGATGGTAAGGAGGAGCATAGACCTGCACCTACTTCTTTATCGGGTGTAGAAGTATTTGAAGAATTACTTGAATTCAATAATGTTTTTGAAAAGGGAAAAAAGAAAAGGCTTCGTAACAACAAGAGTCCGCGGAAAAAGAGATCTATTTTTTTGGAATTGCCATATTGGGCGCATAACAAATTGAGGCACAATCTTGATGTGATGCACATTGAGAAAAACATATAGATAGAAAGTCAAAGGATCATGTAAGTTCTCGCTATGACTTGCAAGAAATGGGGATACGAAAGGAGCTACAACCAAGAGAAGATGATAATGGAACAACAAGTTTGGCTCAAGCTTGTTTCTCCATTAGTCCAGAAGAGAAAAGCTTGTTTTGCACCGTTATAAAAAATGCCAAATTGCCAAAAGGGTGTGCTTCGAATATATCAAACCATGTGCATGTGAAGGAGATGAAAATATCAGGGTACAAAAGTCATGATGCTCATTTTATAATGCATTATTTACTCCAGGTTGCAGTTAGGAAATCATTGCCTAAGAATGTTTCGTTGACCTTGATTAGGTTGGGCGATTTCTTTAGAGCTATATGTAGTAAGGTTGTAATGAGAAGGGATCTTGAATAAATGCAATCTGAAATTGCTGAAATAACTTGTGAACTTGAAAAGATTTTTCTTCCAACATTTTTTGATATAATGCCACATTTGCCTATTCATCTAGTGAATGAAATTAAGCTTGGGGGTCCGACACATCTTCGTTGGATGTATTCTATTGAGAGGAACCTATGTAAGTTGAAGGCATTTGTTCGTAATCGATCTTGTCCAGAAGCGTCAATAGCAGAGGGGTTTTTAGCCGAAGAGTGCTTGACTTTTTGTTCGAGATACCTACATGATGGCGTGAAAACTAGATTCAGTAGGTACCAAACTGAGGATGATGAATGCCCTCAAAATTTATCACCTATATTCCCTAAGATTGGCCATCCAATTGGAGGTAAGAAGAAAAAAAAAAGGCAAGACTTTTCTCATGGATTCACAGTTATCTTATGAAGTACATCGATATGCTCTGTTCAATACTGGAGATGAACTAGTGGAAAATTTTATCAAGTAAGATAAATTATATAATATTTATTTATATTTTAAACTTTATTTATTTTCTTATGATAAGATACTTTAAGCTCCATTTATGAAGGCCTAATAATTGAATTTAAAATATTCATTATTGCAGGGAACATAAAAATTTAATGCGTAATCATACTAGATCAAATGCATGGGTAAGAGCAAGGAATCATAGTCGGGAATTCAGCAACTGGTTCAAAGAAAAAGTTAAAAATATTGAAGTGCCCGATTATTTACGGTGGCTAGCTAAAGGGCCTAATGTTGTTGCCAAAAGATATACTGCATACTTCATTAATGGATACCGATTTCATACCATAGGACGAGATTCTTCAGGAAAGACTCAAAATAGTGGAGTGACTTTATTGGCAACAACGGATAGTTTTGCTAGTGCTAGGGACCAAAATCCTAGCGATGGAGAGGTTATCTATTATGGAGATATTCAGGATATCATTGAAATTGATTATTGGGGTTGTTTTAGTGTTGTACTATTTAGGTGTGATTGGTATCAGAATTAAATAGATGACTATGGGTTAACTCGGGTGTACTTCAATAAATTATGCAGTACAGATGATTCTTTTGTGTTGGCATCTCAAGTTTATCAAGTTTTTTATGTGGCAGATCCAATTGAGGAAGATGTTTATTTTGCAAGGAAAAAGGTCCCTATTGATTTGTATGATCTAGAGGAAGGGAATTGTCCCAACATAGAAGACACATTTTGGAGGGAACCTAACGATGACATTGGTTCCTCAAGTGGATTAATTGATGTTGATGTTAGATGGTCAAGAGAAGATGTACTTGTTGATATCGTAGATATTCCATCATATGCACAATGTTCACAAGATACAAATATAGAAACATCAGAAGAAGAGGAAGATGAAAATGCGTTTGATGATACTGATTGGGATTGGATGGAGCCAGATGGCTAAAAAAAAGATATTCTGAACTTTTAAATATATTACTTATTGTTGTTTTAATATTTTGAGTGAGTGATAAATTCCCTTTTACAAAATATTTTATGATTATTCTTGTTTATACTTTTTGCAATTAATTTTTATTTATTTTTTGTAGAATTTAATTTTGAATTGTGATCCATTTTACAGGATTTTCAAAAATCAATTTGAAGAAAGATAGTGTATCATTGAGGAGAGTTGCAACTTCACTGTTAACAGATTTGGAACTATTAAAAGGTACGCATTGTTATTATCTTCATTTGTTAAGTCATAAACTCAGAAAAGAAAAAGATAAAAGTTTTGGTTTTGTTTCCTGAATTCCTTGGGCATATGTTTATTATCTTATACTTATTTTGAAGATTATCCTCTTCGGAGATATTGAACTGTTTCCTTGTATCGCTGCTGAATTTAGTGTCCATTGTTACTTGGTTTAAATCAATATTTTGGACTGAAAACTTGTATTTCTTGGTGCTACCATTGATCTATAAAGGAGATGTCAATTTTGTGAGTTGAAGGTCTGTTTGGTAGCTGTTGATTTGTTCAGTTTTTGCACCAATTTGTATCATCTTTCTTCCCTTTTATCTGCTGAAGACCTGGCAGCATTTTGAATAGTTCCAGCACTGAATTACTGCTGCAAAAGCTGCTATTTGGCCTGCATTTTTTTTGCACCAGTTGTGCACTACTGTTTTACTGAACTGAAGTTGCTTTATTTGAACATATGATCTGCATTCCATTGTCTGTGAAATAACACGAGCACAGTTGTGATTATCTGCTGTGATACACATTGCCCAGCACCTCGAAACTGTGTTGACTGTGCCTATTCTCATCCATGATTCACGTGTGATCCATGTAGGAACACCTGAAAATTTATTCTGCTTGTGTTCCCAGTATGTCCTACATGGTGTACATGTTGAAATTCTTGCTTTGTTTCCTTGCAAATCTTCCATACATCCCTCTGAACAGTATTGCCTCGATATGTAGCCATTTTCTGCATTTGTATTACATCGAGCACAGGTGTGATTTTCTAGTGTAAAAACCTCTGCCCAACACCTTAATTCTGTGCTAAATGTGTATATCTTTGCCTGATCTTATTTGGAGTATTTCCTGCGTGTTGTTAATTTCCAGTTGAGTATACACTCCCATCACCTCGCATGCTCCTGTTATTACTAGCCAAAAGTACTTGCCTAGATTAAATCTGGGCAGCATAATATTCTGCATTCTTTCTATGCTTTTGCCTATCTTTGGCTTCCTTTCAGTGGAAGAAGGCATAGTTTTGAGCAGTAAATTGAGCTGAAAACTGCAGTATTGTGACAGTCCAGAGGATCAAAAGTTTAGAAGTTTTTGTCCAGTTTTTCTGTCAAATTCTTCTGTCCAGTTTTCCTTTTCGTTTGATCAAAAGTTCAGAAGTTTTTAATCTTCCTTTTTGTTTGATAATTCTGAACTAGTGTAAACTTGATATTAGTTCATATTAAGTTTTTATACTTATGCTAATCTTTTTTTTTTCTTAACTTGACAGTTTTGAGATGACTATGAATCAAGTAGTGACTACAAGGAAAAACAAAAAAGAAACAAACTCACAGTATCTTCCAGCTGGATCACTTTCATCGTTGGCAAAAGAAAAGTTTTCGTTGTTGACAACCAAAAGAGCTGTTCCACCTAATTTTTCAAATAGACAACCAAAGCATCCAAGGTTAGGATCTCAAGTGCAAAAACCAGTGCGTCAATTGCCACTTACCTCTCATGTACCACAAAAAGTACAAGAACAAGTACAACAAGTACCATTGGATTCTAGCTCTCCTGTAGCAACAAAAGGGCAAGAACAAGTGCATCGAGCGACACTACACTCTACAGCTTCTGCTGCACAAGCAGTACTGGAACAAGTGCAACAAGTGTCGCAACGTTCTACAGCTTCTGCTGCACAAGCAGTACTGGAACAAGTGCAGCAAGTGTCGCAACATTCTACATCTTCTGCAGCACAAGTAGTATTGGAACAAGTGCAGCAAGTGTTGCAACATTCTACATCTTCTGCAGCACAAGTACTATTGGAACAAGTGCCGCAAATGTCGCAACATTCTGCCACTCATGAAGTAATTGAACAATCAGAAAAACGAGGCAAGAATATATAGATTTCAACCATAAATTCAATTAGCATTAGTGATTTGGTAATTATCTCTTGTTCGTAACTATTGTAGGCTCTTCCACTGTAAAACGAAAAAGAGGAAGGACACAGATGCCACGTGTACATGGACGGAGTGAGCGCAAGTTGGCTGTTCTAAGTGATTTGAACCAACCCATTGGTCCTACTGACGAAATTGTAAAAGAGTTGGGAAGTTTCCTCGGTACATTGGCAAGAAATTCAACCTTTTGTCCTCTGAATATAAATAACTGGAAGAAACTGAATACAAAAGAGGATATGTGGACATATATCAAGGTTTGAAGTTTTCATTATTTCAATTGTTAGTTGATAATATTTCATATTTTTGCTTTAACTCAAGTACACCAAAATGTAGACAAAATATGACATTCATGATGATGGAAGAGAGTGGGTTTTTCAATCAATTCAAAATGCTTGGAGAAGGTATAAGTGTTGGTTGAAGAAAAACTACTATGAAGCCTATGCCAATGACGAACTTCGAATGGAAAAAAAGCCTTCATATGTTTCAGAATCTGAGTTTAAGTACCTTCTTGAATACTGAAAGTCTGATAAAGCTCAGGTTGCTTATAGACACAGTAAACTTGATTTTGGACAAAGAGAATGAGTAATTCTTTTGAAGTTCATTCCCCGTCTTGTCTTCGTGTCCAACACTTTTTAGATTATCAAAATGCATAAGGCAGGAATGTATTAGATGTTTAACATAAAAGCTTACTTGTTGCAGTAAACTTCGAAAACTAATACTGAGAATCGAAAAAAGTTAAAGAATTCACACACTGCTAGTTTTGCCACAATCCGCGAGGTTCGGTATTTTCTCTTATTTTTCATTAATATGAACTTTTTAACCTTACTTGATAAAATTTTTATGCTGACTTTCATGTAACTAGAAAAAAAAAGAAGGAAACTTCTGAGGAACCATCAAGTAAGGACATGTTTGTGGCTACGAGATCAAGAAAACCCGGTCGAGTATACAAGGAATCATATGAAGATACAATGCGCAAAATTGTACAAAGAGTTCTACTTTAAATCTTGTCAAGATTATCTTTTTGGTCCTGATTGTTAACTCAGTTTTATTTATTTGTATTTTCTTCTCTTAAATTTTATTTGTAGGCTGAAATGGAGCAAATACAAACTCAAAAAAGTGAAGATGATAACCAATCAATTGACGCATTTGCAACAGTCATGGGACCTGAACATCCAGGTCGCGTAAGATTGTATGGTCGTGGGGTTACAAAGACTATCTTGAAACAAAAATCTGGAAATTCTGGACCCTCTTCAAAGACTACTGATGAGATAATGGAGCAAAAAATGAAGGAAATGGAAGAGAGAATGCAACAAAGGATGCAGAAAAACTTCGAGGAACAACAGGAAACTTGGCAGCAACAAATTACACTTAATGTTGTTGCACAACTTCAGCATATTAACCCAGATTTACGAATTCATCCTAATATGCTAGCATTCGGTGGTCGTTCACTCAGAGAAGCTTCCTCTGCACAACAAGCTGCAATTCAACTAATCAATCGTCCATCTACTAGTAGTACTAATCAAGGTGTGTACTTAATTATTGCAAAATACTGTATCTCTATTTTAATAATTCTTCTTCTTTACACATTGTTGCTGTCGTTCTTTTTTATTTCTGGATTGAATATTATTAATAATTGGGACACATCAGGAAATGAAGCTTAAATCTCAAAAACTATTAGAAAACAGTGAAAACAACCTTAACAGAACTTCCTTAGATGAACTTATGTTTGTTATTTTTGAAGCCAAAAGAGAGAAGAAATGGAAAAAAATGTTAAGCTTAATGGAGTGATTAGCTTTTGACCACCGCTTGTCCCATGAGAAGATGATAAAAATGTATCTCTTTAATCTTAATTGTTGGTACCTTTCTTTTTATTTTATTTCTGGAATTTATAGGGTGTTCATGTTTCAGTATCTATTTGGCAATGAGATCTTAATTTTCTGATATTTGATTAGTTATCTGGGGTGCTTCTTGTCGATTTCGGATATTATTCTGTTTCAAGTTGTCATTTTATGCACTTTAGCTTTATTGGACATCATGCAATATGTTCTTTTCTTTATTCATTTGAGTGCTGAAATTATTTCTTAAGAAATTCCTTTCTGGCCATGTACTACTTGAAATATGAAGGATATCAATGTGCTTATGTGAACTAGTTGACAAATTCAAGTAGTAAAAACCATATCTAGTACTTAATTTTCTCTCTAAACATGTAATTAGACCAACATCTGCTTGGAAATGCCACCAGTCCAACATGCCATGTACAGACTTTAGAAGAAGACAACAGGCCACCCACATCCAATGCATTGCAGACAGTTCTTGTGGCCACTCATAAGCAGCAACAAAGAAAATGAGGTACCAATCTTAATTTCTTTGATGTTACAAGCCACACAGTTACACCCATATCTCATATGCTCCACCTCTGATTCTCTTCTGTCATTCACAACACACAGAGGCAGACTACTCACGCATCTTTTTTGATTTCATGCTTTCCTATCTTCAACATGACTTTCTTTGATGATATTGTTAAAGCCAAGTTGAATATAGATGTCTTGTTTGTGTCAAGTGGTGTCACTTTATTTTATTTATCCTCATATTTGTTTCTTCCTTTTAATTAAATATACATATTTAGTATAATTTTTTGACCAAGCGATGTCATGTGACACCACTTGGCCTAAGGTACATCCGCCCCTGGTTCTATGGAAAGAAGTTTAGTAGGCCTGAAATTTAACATTGTAAGCCATCTAGCGATGTCCACAGTCTGCCACGTCTACTTTAGCTATAGATCAGTTTTTTTTGTTTGATTATGTGGAAAGATTTTCCAATATGTAGATGCAGCAAGTTTACAACGAGAGTGACATGTAGAATCAGCAATTTGGCATGTGAATTCATTTGCTAGAATTGGTCATTTAGATCTTAGTCTAACTCTGCTAGTCTACTATGCATAACAGAGCGAGAAAGCAACTTATCTCCATTTGATTGGTACGATAGAAAGTTAATGTATTTTCATGTAAATTCAACATTTCGAGACTTATCTTGCATCTGGTAGTTCATAATTGGTCTTTTAGGTAGTTGTTAAAAATTTCACTACATGTGCGATGTCCAGCGTCCTTTATAGAAATGGAGAGGTAACTAGTTTAGATTTCACTTCATAATAATGCAGTACTCATAATAATGTCAAAAAAAATTGTGTCTGGTATTCTTAAATCCTTTAAAAGACTTGACCTTTCATTTGTTTTTGAATGGTTAACTAGCATTTAAAGAGATAATGATTTTATTTATCCTCTTTTGTAGATGGAGAAAATGAAGAAAGGGAAGATTAAAGGAATGAAGATCCTGCTTAAGAAGATTTTTGGATTGTTGCTGAAACTCTAAATGTTCTAGGAATCTTTTGTTATCAAACATTTTGAAACTTCTTTAACTTTTGGATTGTAAAACTTATGTACTTGGTTCTTAACTTTTGGATTATTAAACTTATGTACATGGGTTCTAATATTTTGCTTTTACGGATATTACAACTTGGATTGTAAATGTTTATGATTAGTTTTATTTTGTGATTTATATAAATTATTGTGTATTATAATTTAATGTAAATATTTATTTACTATCAGGGAGTATATTGTTGGTTCAATTAAACTGTTACAATAGCTTACCTCAACCGTTGCTATAGGTAACAAAAACGGTCTCAATTAACCATGTAAACTGTAGCAATATGATAGGTAACCGTTGCAGTAGGTAAACTAAACCATTGCCATAGGTACTATAAACCGTTGCAATAGATAATGCACACCGTTGCATTAGAACCTATTAGATTGTTACTGTAAACAATCCGGAGCAATAGTAATTAAACTGTTGCAAAAGCGGCAAAGAATCGTCGTAATATCCTAACTTAACCGTTGCAATAGAAAAATAACCGTTACAAAAACATATATTGCAACGCCTTTGAACCGTTCTAGTTGATTGAAAATACTCGTCACAGTAGAATGATAAATAACCGTTGCAATAGACTGCTATAGGGCAACGGTTTTCGAAACCGTTGCAGTAGAGCTACTGCAACGCGACCTAAACGTTGCAATAGCTCTATGGCAACGGTTTTCTTATGTACCGCAACGGTTTTCTATGTGTTGCCATAGGTTTATTTTCCAGTAGTGGGAGGTTTGTATCCCTCTGGTAGTTCTACATCTGGCTGTATGCGTAGGTCTTCATAGTTCAAACCTTCTATTCCCTTGCCGCCTTCGACACCCTGAACTCGACTTGTCAGCTTCTTGAGTTCTTCAGCCATGTTTTGAATGAGCAGGTCCTTCTCGGAGGATTCTGGGGTATAGGAGATTGGTGGGATAGAGTGGGGCATGGTTTCCACATATATGGGGTTGTTTTGGTGGGTGCCCGGTGCCTAGGTGTAATGGTGGTCATTGGTAGAGTTTTGAGGATCGGGAATGGGTTGTGGTATACTTTAGGGAGTGTGGTAAGTGGTGGTTGGCAGGTAATGAATTGGTTGATGATAGTGTTGTGGCGGAGTTGGTATTGGTAGGGGATTGAGATTTTGGGGTGGGGTTGCGTATTGATGCGGTGCAAGAGGGTTTTGCGGATGTTGGCTTGGTGTGTTTGGGGAGGTGCTGGGTTCTTTGTGTTTTGTTGGTTGATGTCGGGACATTCAAGGTGAGTGACAAGTTTGCCAAGTTGCGGACCTGGTCAAGCTCTCCCTGTAGTTCTAATATCTTTTGTTCCAATCTCAAGACTAGATCATTTGGTGCCGGAGTACTCCGCCCATATGACGTTTCTGCGTTCTCAACATTCTCCTTTCAGATACCATTTAAATCGTCCATTTTTGCTTTTCCTTTGCCTTTTGTATTACTTGGAGGAGGAGGAGGTGGAGGACCTCTAGATCTGGTGTGATATGCTGATGATGCCAGTATGAGCGAACCAACCTTAGGGGATGAGAATAAAAAATAAAGAAAAAATGAAAAAGTAAACGAGCCAGTAAGGATTCTGAAATGTTTACAATATTTAAACACATATTACGGGAATGTAAATTCGTGTCCTAGTTTGGGATCCTCGTTGTGCTCGAGTTTGGCCTAGCGACAAATAAATTTGGAGAAACTTAGTGCCAATAATTGCCTCATTTCATTAAATTAAAGTAAACGAACCAAAACAAAACTAAATAAGATAGTGTTACTAATGGCTCCTGGCCTTGTTACATTTGAAAGGAAAGCAAATAAATCTAATCTACTTGGTCCCAGAAGGACCCTCTCTAGACTGGATACTCTTGTCGATCAATTCTCCCATCTTGCATAGGTTCAGCAGTGGGAATGCCCTTGCAAGATGCCCTCCTTCGTTCCCTTCAGCGTTCTGGCAGTCAGTGACCCTTTTTTCTTATCTTCCCTTCCAACTCCATTAAACTCTATTCCAAGTATTCCAGCCTCTCGTTGGATTAACAGCTCTTTCTTTCCATTCGTTAATCATCTCCATATCAGCCTTGTGCAGTGCAATATGCTCGGTTTTAGACTCTCGAACCCTTTTCCGTAACTTGTTGTACTTCACCTCGGCTTCAACATCCTCGTCTATAACCCTATTTCCTGGCCCAGCCCTTGGTTCAACGACCCCAGTTATGTTGTCCTCCAACCACAAAAGGTAAAGGTATGAGTGGCCCGCGTGATATCGGTCTGGCTTAATAGTATCCTTCTCCACAATAATCTTTAAGGTCCATATGTGTTGCGCTTCATTCTTATACGGGATGGCGTCACCTTGGAAATTGGCTCTGAAGTGACACATTTTGGCGACCCGTGGTATGATTTGTGTCCTTCCTGCTTGTCTCATAACCCTGAGAGGAGCGTAAGGCTATATGCCCCTCAACCCGATCAACACCAAGTGCGGAAAATCCCTGGATCTAATGATGAATTCATCGGTAAGGAACCACTCGAACATCTACTGGACTTGATCCTCGGTCAAATTTTCAAAAAGCTGTACCGATCTTGTAGCGTCCTCTGGCTGAGCAAACATGTCCGGAATGTAATTCATTCTTTTGGGATGATGGAAGGCTATATGATCATTCCACGGCCTTCGCGAAAATTCTTGACAGTATTGTCCCTTTTGGAGATGTTCCAACAACCAGACTTGTAGCAGCAAGTTGCAACCCTCAAAGAACCTGAACCCCTTCTGACATCGCTCCAAAGCCTGGTACATGTCTGTAACGATGATAGGGATGATAGTGTATGTCTCTCCCTCTATCCCGTCCATCAGATTTTTGGTCACCATGGCCAACCTAGTATGGATCCTATCCCCTTGGATTGAGAATACCAACATGCCCAAGAAACACATAATAAACACGAAGACCCTACGTTTAATCCAACTTAAAGAAGTGATTGAGAACTCATCATCAAAAAGATGGTAGGAGCTGCTGTGACCATATCTTTCATAAAAGAACTCAAAAGGTATGTAGAAATCCTTTAGGCATTTCAAGTTATCATTCTTCTTCAGCCCCACCATTTTCAGAAATATCCTAGTAGTGCGATTTTCAGGTGCCAACAGATTAGGACTATCCCAAGGTAACCCAGCAAATCCTCCTATTTCTTCTAGAAGGGGTGTCATTTCTATGTTCCCAAATCGGAACACAGCCATTTCCTTGTCCCAAAACATAGTTGCAGCCTCGATCAACATTTTGTTGAGCTGAAGATCCATTAGAGAAGGCAAGTTTCCTAAGACTCGTTTCACATAGTTTTGGTCACATGAAGGAAGATCCCTCCACCAATCTAGCAAAAGTGAGGGTGTGCTAACCATACCAAATTTGGGGACCTCGTGCCTCATTTTTTTGCAAAATAAAGAGAGTTAGGTCCTTTCCCCCCTCCAAGTTCGTCTATTTATATAGTAATGATTAGCATATCGACACTTATTTCTCCAAATTAATGCACATAATCTTGGTCACGTCCATTGGGATTATGGAAAACCCGATGGACTTTGGACAAGGCTTGTCTTAAAGGGTTATTATGTGGACAACATATTAGCCCGACTAGGTTTGACCATGATGCATGTACAATTTAATCAGAGTAGGGTTGCTATAGAGGTCTAGACTGGGACCCTCAAGCGGACAACTTGAGGGGTAAAGGCACAGAACCGTCGAACGCACCGCTGATCGACTAGTTTTATCGCAAATATGCCATTTCGAATTTCAAGGGTGATATATAGGAAGAGCGCAAACACTCATCAAGCGTTGCTATAGGATTAATTACGCACGAGTGGAGTATGATGTTAAGCATGATTTATGCAGCAATAAAGTGCATGTTGTCAAGTATTTGCACATAAGAAAATGATAAATGCAGTATTTAAATAATTGAAAGACAGTTACAGAAAAGAAAACAAAGACACAAGTTAGTTTCATGAATAAAGAATCATAAATGCTTAAAAAATAGACAGTTAAATTCAAATAAGGGGAAATGGTACGTGGGATAGAGTATGCTTGGACTAATTCACAAAGGATAAGTTTGTTATGGTAAGAGCCTAAAATATCCCCAGCAGAGCCGCCATGCTGTCGCGCCCCTTTTTTCCCTTTTTTGACGAGGAAGTCCGGGTTTCGACATTCATGGGGGGAATAACTCATTTTCTTTTGGGAATGGGTATTTGAAGAGTCGCCACCTAACGGATTATGGTGCATTAGGGCACCTTGAGCAATTAACTCATGGACTAGTTTGCCTTACCAGAGATTTAGGGTAAGAGCTCAAAATAACCTTGAGGGGAAGGTGTTAGGCACCCCTCGCGGTCCACAACGGTGGGTCCCAGCCGAATTTAAACTATGTGAATTAGTCATTTTAACAAATAAACAGTTTTAACACGTACTTGTAAGTAAAAGGCATGTTTTTGACATTCTAAGCATATGTATGATTCAAGTAATGGAACAGAGGAAAAGGTTTGAACAAGTTGCACATATATAAAGAAAAGTAAATTTATTTAAAAAATGGGAGTTGGGAAAGAGGGGTCCTAGGTTGGTTAGCCTATAGGATCATACCCACACAATGCCCGGTAAACACTCCTCAACGAGGGGCTACATGTGACATTAGCGCATAGTCATCATATTCTTTATTACCCAATTCCCTCCCCTTGGTTATAGCCTAAAGCGTTCTAGCAACCTTGAAAGATACCCTATGCGTGCACTACCCGTCCCTTCCTCGTGGCCCCAGAGATATTTAGTACCTCTAATTTAGGTAGTTCTAGACCATCCTAAGGTATTTAAAGGATAAAAGTCTAAGCGCCAATCAAAACAATTAGAACTGCATTTAAAGAGAACAATTACAGGCTCACATTCACCTCCACAAACATAACAAGTAAGTGCACATCTCAAACAACAGTTTTAGGTATTTAAGAGAAAACCCTAGAACATGATATCTAGGTGAGCAGAGATTATACAGTATTGAATCAGAACCAAAGTGTTAAAGACCTATTCAGCTTGCCTACTGGTAGACCTATTGAATGTGAGCAGTCTCAAATAACAAGGCGCAAATTTATCGTTTGTATAATTTTAATCGCCCTATAGGCTTGCC